AAAGGAGTTAATAAAGACTATAACAAATTAGTAGATCTGATGGTTCATGAGGAATTGTACAATACAATCCCTGTTGACCTCAGAGAGTATCTGGAGGACAAAAACCCAGATAATCTTTCAGAAGCACTGGATCTAGGTGACCGATTCCTGGCTCGCAGGGAATTGGTAAGTAAAAACAGTCATGCTCCTTCTGAAAATTTCCCTACTCATTCTATACCTTATTCCAAGTCCTATGGTCATAAAGGTAAGTGGGACAAGAATTTTTCAGGGACAAATGAAGGCTGAGGCACCCTCTAAAATAGAATGAAAAGGTAAGTCAGCTGGAGCTCAAATTTTACCTAGATAATCAGATAATGTTTCAGGTCCTCGAGTAAACAGTACCAGTCCTACACCAAATGGTAAAAATACCGTTAAGAGTTTTATCTGTTACTGCTGTAACAAAACTGGACACACACAAAAGTTTTGCTGGTCAAGACGGCGAGATCAGGAAAGGGAGGAATCATCCCAGGGGACCCTAACTGCAGAGATACATCCAGTTGCCTGCATTAGGTCTTCAAGGCAAGGTGAGGAGGAACCTTTGGATCTAGACCCCAGGATGTGTATATTTTTTAGTAGGTCCACAGTTGGTTTGCAAAAGGATGTAGGCAGAGTTGAGAACATATTGTCCTTGAGAGATGGATGTAGCACCTACTCCTTGCTACATGCTGGAATGCTGCCAGTGTCTAAGGATACCTATACTGGGGTAGATATATTGTTGAAGGGTATTATGGGTTCAACCATAAGGACACCTGTACACAAATTGTGGGTAGAATCTGCATACCAAGTTGGCTATATCCCTGTAGGTATCTCAGATGAAATTCCCTTCGAAGGGGTCAACCTCTTATTAGGGAACAATGTTATGGGCCTGTTAGACAGTGAGGAACAACTAGTTTGGGGGAAACCAAGTCCCAAATGTTGGGAGGAAAAGACTAGGAAAACCCTGCCAGACCTTCTCCCTGATGATTCCACCATGAGAAGTATGGCTCATGATCATGCTACCAACAGTCTTCATGATATTTCTCTTGAGGATGGTGAGGGCTTAAGTTTGGTAACTCTGCTTTCTGATGTTGAACTGCAGTCAACTGAAGAAAAGGATGTTCCAGCCTGAGCTGAGCATGATTGGAGAATGGATCAGTTAAATAGTGTGAGAGAGGCTGCACCCGCTAGGGTGCAATTAATTTCTGTGCAGGAAAATGTCACTCTTAAGCTGATCAGAGCCTTAGCTGTTGCTGAGGAAGAGATTTTACAATTAAATAAGTGTTTTCATTTCAGGGAGGAAACTCTTACAAAGAATTCACCTCTGTTCGCAGTATCGATGGAAGGAGAACAAGGGTTTTGTCCCCAGATGGTGATGTCCAAGGTTTCCAGGCATTTCTTCTGGTCTCATCTGTGGGAGACTGTCAGAGAGTATATTGAGACCTATCATGTCTCTCAGTTTATAGGGAGACCTAGTCAAAGCATTAAACCTGTTCCCCTTCAGTCTATTTCAGAATCAGGTGAACCCTTCAGCAAGCTGGTAGTAGATGTACTTGGTCAATTCTCAAGGACCAAACTGGGAAATGATTATTTACTCACAATTATTTGCTCCGTTACCAGGTACCTGGAAGCAGTCCCTCTACATGAGATAACTGCTCATGTAGCCCTAAGGGTTTTGATGAAGTTCTTTTTTCATGTTGGTTTTCCTCAAGAGGTGCAAAAAAGACCAAGGGCCTAACTTTACCTCAGTCTTTTAGAAATGTTTTAAAGGGATTAAAAGTAGAGCCTCAGTTTTCAACTGCCTATCACTCTCCATCTCAAGGGGAAATAGAGAAATTACATCAAACCCTCAAGACAATGATGCAAGCCTATGGTATAGACAATACTAACAACTAGGATGAGTGGATCCCTTTCTTTGTATTTGCTGAGTGGGGAAGCACTCTGGAATCTCTGAGCTATTGGCTTGGGGAGGATGGTGATCCTCCCCCTAGGAGCTTTTTCTGTTTCAGACACTGTTTGGCTCATATGAGGTGGATGGTACCAGTGAACGTGCCCATCAACCAGACCAGGATGATGATGTGGGACCATAATGCTCTGGAGTCTGTAGAGGAAGTGCTGATACTGGAGCCAGTTTATGTGAAAATCTGTATGGCAAGTTGCTGTGACCTGAACATGTTGTGGGAGAAGTTCCCAGGGGTTAGATATAAAACCCACACCCCCAAGCAAGAAAACAATGAGTATAATATACACAGTAACTGGTCAAAGGGTTTGAAGTTGTCAAAAATTCAGAGAGGCCAATGTTTTAATGGAATGTAAAGGGGTGCAAAACAGTAATCTGTATGAAATAGCAAAAGCGTATTTAAGAAATAACAGGTGTGTAAAAGATTTTGGGAAATGCATGCTTGGGTATAATGAGAAAAATGTTGGAGAGTTGGCTCAGCCACCTTGGAACCTTATAAAGTTTTGGGATGTCAGTAATGGGGAAAAGTTGAAGCTCCATGAAGAAATTGTTAAGGAAGCTAAACCAATTCAACAACTTTTGTGTGAGAAAAATCTGTATGAAAAATTGGATATGGAGGAAGAAGTGAAATTCTTCCAACACCAGTTTGTAGTGCTTAGTGAGAATCAGTGGGCATTCCCATGCTTCATGGTTCCCAAAGTAGATGGCACCCTGGGCATATGCACTGACTACCACAAGGTACATTTAACAACTAAGGTTTACAGGATTAGAAAGATTGATACTGATGCAGTAAGAGATGCAAACATTTTAAATAAACTAAAACATGGGGCAGGAGGATGTGATTTCCATACCCTGTGTTCCAGTACCATTTTCATGTGTGTAATGCAAATTGTGTTCATTGTGTGCTTAAAATTTGTGTGTGAGATGGAACGTGATGGTATTTGTGTAAACTTGATGTATCCAACCTGGGTGCAAAGAGATGTCTTTGGTGTTTGTTGTTTTACTGCGAGAGGTTGCAGAACTGTTACTATCTATGAACATCCTTCTAAGTTTAAATGTCAACATTTTACCACAGGAAAGAAAATTTTCATTTTGGGGCTGGCTATTCAGCATTTGTATATGCCTCAGGATCTCTTCATCCTGTTCCTGTGTATGGTGACTAAAATCAGACTCTTAAAATGGGCTTTGTTCCTATAGCCTTTTAATTTTGAAGTTAAATATATAAAAGGCTCAGAGAATGTGGTTGCTGATGCTCTCTCTAGATGTTTCATGTAGATGCATGGAGCGTACTTTGTACATAGTGTTTGTCATGTGCTGACCTTGTTGTTTTTGCAGTGGTGAACTCTCGGCGAGCCTGAGTACTCTCTACCAGCCATCTGACTGTGAAGGAGTCGGGTCGGAGCCAAAAGTGTGACGAGGGTCAGTGTAGTATATGTAAATGTGAGTTGAGGCAGTGGTTGACAACCTTCGGTAACATGAGACGTTCAGGAAGGTATATGATATGTTGTGTCTTGGTGTGCTATATATACAAAACGGCCCGACAATTTGCCTTTGTGGTCCCTTGGACCCCTTCATGTTCTATGTCAGCCTCCTCTTCATAAGTTTGGAGGATCTGTGTGGAGTGGGACCTCGGAAGATGGGCTTGAGTGCCTGACCATGTTACGGATTGTGAGTGTTGACTGGAAGTCTCACTGTTTGGTTCGGCCACCAAGTGAGAGACACCTTGACATGTTTTGTGAAGTTTCCTGCCTGGTGTACACCTGACTGCTCTGGGTTTGGCTCCACTCTCGTCTCCTGATCAGGAAGATGCCACCCTGGAGTACCAGTTGCTTGCGGGATTACCGCAGCAGAGGCACAGGCATGTTGGTGCAGGCTTTCACAGTGGACATTGTGTGCAATTCTTGCATTGTAATGTGTATTGTTTTTAAAAGCCACTAAAATTGTAAATAGTTACACCCTTGAGTATATGGGTATGGTTAAAATGCTTTTCTAAAAAATTCTGCAATATGTTGTAAATAACAGTAAAGTGAAGAGTAGTTAGGGTGCTGGGAAATATGTAGCATTTCTAGTAGTCTTGCTTACCGCCTTCAGACTTAAGCAATATACTTTTACTAGCCGTATCCTGAGGGACATGGCTAGCTTTTGTGAGACTTCGTCTGGAGGTGGGGGTATAATGGGGCTATAGGACCCAACATGTATTTATAAGTAACAGTTACTCTGGAATACCTAATTATATTGAATTGATGGGGACTTAGCTCTAAATGTCATAAGGGCAGATCACCCTTATGACTGAGAGGCAGCTGGGTCAAGCCTATTTTTCTCAATATAATAGGTTATACTATAGATACACAAACACACAATTTAAATAAGTAGTTTAAAGTTGTAATTCTCTTTGTAAATGTAAAATTAAGGTGTGGTAGAAGTGTGGTAACTGGAGAATTGTGCTTGGCAACAGTCTTTTGTTGGTGTGAGAAGAGCTTAGCTAGGCTCCTCCCTCCCTCTCTCTCTCTCTCTGTTGCTGGCCTTCAACCTGGCAGGATCTCTGGGTCTTCTATTTTTTTGGGGTATTATGTGTACTCCAGGGGTGAGTTTTTATAACCTTAGTTGTGGCCACCATACCCAGGGTGACTAAAGTGTGTCAAAACACTGGTTAGCCCAGAGATTAGTCATGAAGAGAGAAGGGCAAAGTTGCTGAGATGCAGCATGTGGGAGAGCAGCTAAGGAGTGTGTAGATTTCTGTTTTGAATATGTGAGGCTGTAATTGTATATTCTGTACATATCTATTTAGAATACAGTTATATTTTTATAGTTGTAGTTTACATAACCTGTGAAGAGGGCTGGTGAAAGGATATCAGAGACACTCAGGATGATCAGCCATGATGTATTACCTCTAGACAGATAAGGCCATTAAGCAAAAAGCTACCCCACACTAGAACATGTAGTGAGAACCTTACTATCAAAGTAATAAAGGACATAACAACGTAACAATTACCGCCTATTAAATCTCTGTTTTTTCCCATTGTAGAACAAGTTCACCTTTGGAAAGTGTGAGAGTACGACAAGACTCAGTTATGTCACAGGAGAGTGACCAGAGTAGTTCATACAGCTACCTTGCTGACGGAGGTGCCGGCAGCACTCATGTACATCACAGCAATATTGATGAAGGTAGGTGCTAACACTCTCTGGTAGTGAATCTTAACACTGTGCCAACCATTTGATTCATTATGACACTCCATAAATAAAGTTGAGCATGTTTGTAATTGGGTCATTCACACTTTTTTATTACCTCATCAAACTGGTAGGAGTTGAGGGTATGTATTGTGGAACACTAGGAAAAAGTTGGTTCATTTGTTTTATGATTTAGTTTTTTCAGTATTTCAGAAGAGTGTCAAGTTAGGTATCAACCAGTAATTGTTTCCGTGGATTGTCTCTCCAGCTTTAAGTATAGAGGTAACCCTTACTATTTTAGGTATGGATGGCAATGTTTGGGAGTCTTGAGATTTGTTAAACAGTGTTTCAGTGGAGGGTAATATCACAGGACCTGCTTTCTTATACTTTAATGATGATGGTATATTACCTAAGTTTCCTGCCCTGTTTGTCAGTTAATTTATTAGTTTAGTAAAACAAATAATTTGATATGGAAATAAATATCAATTCAATTCAATTCAATTCAAGTTTACTCTCTATAAGGGTTACAATGTGGGGTTTGCAGGTTTTGGGTATTGTGTGGTTTACATGTTATAAAATACTAATTACAGAGGGGGCCACTAGGACACTTAGCATGGCTAGGCATTTCAGGCAGACTTAGATTAATTCTTAACATTAAATCCTTACAGATTATGGTATTAAGGCTAAGTGACTACATCATAATTTGTGAGTTTAGCAATGTGAATGCTTTTGTTTTGGCACAATGAAGTGTCTATATTGGAGTATCATAGGCAAACTTATGACTAGTTAGAATTTATTATTTTAAGATTAAGATTAGTATTTCTGGGTTTATAGTCAGTGGGTGAGTGAGTGTAATTGTGAACCACCAGGTGGTTATCATGTAGTTAGTTGTTGGGGTGTATCAGGGAGATAAGATGTTTTCTAACTGTAGTTTTGAAAGTGATGAATGTGTCTGCAGTTCTAGAGTTTTCAGGTAGGGTGTTCCAGATTTTAGGTCCTTTGAAATGCATTGAATTTTTGTAAAGGTTTAGTCGAACACGGGGAATGTCATAGAGATGTTTGTGTCTGGTGTTATGCCTGTGGATCCTGTCACAACTATCAAGAAAGCGTTTTAGGTCAAGGTTAATATTGGAATTTAAGGTCCTGTAGATATAGATTGCACAGTAGTAAGTGTGGATGTTCTGAACAGGGAGTGAGTTTAGATCTATGAAGAGTGGGGGGGAGTGTTGCCAGGGATGGGGTTTAGCGATTATTCTTATTGCGGCTTTTTGTTGGGTTATTATTGGCTTTAGGTGTGTTGCTGCAGTTGAACCCCAAGCACAGATAGCATAGGTGAGGTATGGATATATAAGTGAATGGTCTAGTGTGAGAAGGGCAGTTTGCGGCACGTAGTATTGTATCTTGGAGAGGATCTGGAACATTAGAAATCCCCAAAACTAGAAGTCATATTTAGACTGTAAAATAATAGCATAATAAATATGAAAATATCAGTCAATTTAATTTAATAAACAAGCTTGGTGAAGCAGTTGTCCTCTGTATTATGAAATGTATATATTAAATAACAAAAAGGCACAATACCGTGACTGGAACGATACACAAATAACCCGCACATAAAAGACAGAAGCTTACAACGACGTTTCGGTCCGACTTGGACCATTGACAAAGTCACGCTAACAGAGGAGGAGCAGGACGGCTATATATAGGCAGGAAGAGGTGGAGGTAGTAGTAGTGGTAGTAGTAGTAGTAGTAGTAGTAGTACAAGAATTGTATATAATACCGACAGGATGAAATGACACACGCACAACACCCGGGCATCATCACCGTAGATGCTTCGCCATCCAGCCAGCCACTGGATGGCGAAACGTCCACAACAAAGACAACCAGACGCCGCACATGTGTCTAATTTCATCAGTAGAAGTAGTAGAAGAAGAAGAGGTAGTAGTAGTGGTAGTGGTAGAAGTGGGAAATAAGGAAGACGAGCCAGTCAAATACAAAGGAAGGGGAGCACTGCAAGAGAGCTAGAAACCCACAGAGGGAGAGCAAGCGCACCGAGGTGCGTGAAAGGGGAAGTGGTGAAATAAAATAAGGAACAGAAACACGAGACAGGAGAGAGAAAGACAACCCAGAGGAGAAAAGGAGAGAGGAAAGGGGAAGAGGAAGAAGAAAAAGAAGAAGAAGAAAAAATGAGGATTCAGGTTAAGTCAGAACACCCGTGACTTAACCTGAATCCTCATTTTTTCTTCTTCTTCTTTTTCTTCTTCCTCTTCCCCTTTCCTCTCTCCTTTTCTCCTCTGGGTTGTCTTTCTCTCTCCTGTCTCGTGTTTCTGTTCCTTATTTTATTTCACCACTTCCCCTTTCACGCACCTCGGTGCGCTTGCTCTCCCTCTGTGGGTTTCTAGCTCTCTTGCAGTGCTCCCCTTCCTTTGTATTTGACTGGCTCGTCTTCCTTATTTCCCACTTCTACCACTACCACTACTACTACCTCTTCTTCTTCTACTACTTCTACTGATGAAATTAGACACATGTGCGGCGTCTGGTTGTCTTTGTTGTGGACGTTTCGCCATCCAGTGGCTGGCTGGATGGCGAAGCGTCTACGGTGATGATGCCCGGGTGTTGTGCGTGTGTCATTTCATCCTGTCGGTATTATATACAATTCTTGTACTACTACTACTACTACTACCTCTACTACTACCTCCACCTCTTCCTGCCTATATATAGCCGTCCTGCTCCTCCTCTGTTAGTGTGACTTTGTCAATGGTCCAAGTCGGACCGAAACGTCGTCGTAAGCTTCTGTCTTTTATGTATATATTACTGAAATATATCTCTACCAGTCCGCCATCACATATCTGGCATCGTTGGAACCTGTAGAGTGCCGGATTATTGAGTTTGCCAAATTACAGAGTGGTTAGGTTAGAATCCACTTAATAAAGTTAACCAACTTGACTTACACAAGAGAGTTCATTGAACATCAGCAAAAATTGAACATTTCCACTACTTTGAGCTCAATTTCAAGGTATTTTTTGTCATGAAACCAATCAAAATCAAATCTATTTCTGTAATATATCTTCCATTCTATCAAGTGAGACCAAAAATATGAGAATACAACCATAAAAATCATACAGAAATATATCACTAAGGGGCAGCTAATAGCTGAGAAGTGAACTCCATTATTTATTGTCTGATATTTTTTTCTTTTTGGTGTACATTAAGAAGCATCTTTCCATCATACATTGCCCAAGTTTCAATAAGATAACCCAACAAACAACTGAGAAAAAAATTATTTACCAAAAATCATATATGGCAAGCCCAAGCCAGGTAAAGTGAAACCTCGGTTATTGGCCGCAATCCATTCCAGAAGCTCGGCCTAAAAGCAAAATGGCCGAAAACCGAAATAATATTTCTCATAAGAATTGATGTAATTACAATTAATCCATTCCAGACAAAAATATTCAACAAAATATAATTTTTTAACAATTAAATCAGTATTAAATACCTTTATTGAAGACTAATTCTGTCTTCTGGAATGTCTGCTACACTTCCTGCATGTCTGCTACACTTCCTGCATGACTGTTGCACTCCCTGCATACCCGTTACACTCCTTGCATGCCTGTAACACTTCTTGCATGCCTGCTACACTTCCTGCATGTCTTGTACACTTCCAGCATGTCTGCTACACTTCCTGCATGCCTGCTACACTTCCTTCATGCCTTCTACACTTCCTGCTTGCCTTCTACACTTCCTGCATGCCTTCTACACTTCCTGCATACCTGCTACACTTCCTGCATGTCTGCTACACTCCCAGCATGTCTGCTACACTCCCTGCATGCCTGTTACACTCCCTGCATGCTTGTTACACTTCTTGCATGCCTGTTACACTTCCTGCATGCCTGTTACACTTCCTGCATGCTTGCTACACTTCCTGCATGTCTTCTACACTTCCTGCATGCCTGCTACACTTCCTACATGCCTGCTACACTTTCTTCCTGCCTGCTACACTCCCTGCATGTCTGCTACACTCCCTGCATGCCTGCTACACTCTCTACATGTCTGTTACACTCCTTGCATGCCTGTTACACTTCCTGCCTTCCTGCTACACTTCCTGCATGCCTGCTACACTTCCTGCATGCCTGCTACACTTCCTACATGTATCCTACAGTCTCTGCATGCCTGCTGTACTCCCAGCATGCCTGCTAAACTCCCTGCATGTCTGTTACGCTCTTTGCATGCCTGTTACACTTCCTGCATGCCTGATACAGTTCCTACATGTCTGCTACACTCCCAGCATAGCTGCTACACTCCCTGCATGCCTGTTACACTCCCTGCATGCCTGTTACACTCCTTGCATGCCTCTTAAACTTCCTGAGTGCCTGCTACACTTCCTGCATGTCTGCTACACTTCCTTGCATGCCTCTTAAACTTCCTGAGTGCCTGCTACACTTCCTGCATGTCTGCTATACTTCGTGAGTGCCTGCTACACTTCCTGCATGTCTGCTATACTTCCTGCATGCTTGCTACACTTCCTGCATGCCTGCTACACTTTTTACATGCCTGCTACACTCCCTGCATGCCTCCTACAATTTTTGCATGCCTGCTACACCTTTTGCATGCCTGCTACACTCCCTGCATGCCAGTTACACTCCCTGCATTCCTGCAACTCTCCTTGCATGCCTGTTACACTTCCTGCATGCCTGCTACTCTGCCAGCATGCCTGCTACACTCCCTACATGCCTGTTACACTTCCTGCATGCCTGCTACACTGCCAGCATGCCTGCTACACTCCCTGCATGCCTGTTCCACTCCCTACATGCCTGTTACACTTCCTGCATGCCTGTTACACTTTCTGCATGCCTACTACACTTCACACTTAAATTCCATGGTATTTCTTACTCTCTTTACCACAGGAACTTTATTAGGAACTTTCTTTGGAGCCATGGTTACTTATTTCATAGTTGCACTGCAAAAAACCCACAAAAAAATGAAAAACAAGCAAAATATGT